CGAATTACAAATGAATCTTTCGCCTGAAAGCGGTAAGATTCATTCTAATTCTCTCTCTCTCTCTCTCTCTCTCTCTCTCTCTCTCTCTCTCTCTCTCTCTCGCTGCTTTAGCAAGGTTTGCTAAACTTTCCGGAGGTCCATGGGGAGATAATCTCCCTACGATGTACCCCCGAATTCGAAGATTTTTGGGGTAAATTTTGAATTTTTGTGGATTTCGAGTTTCTGCTTCGTGTGTCGGGTAACGCAGAGTCTCTATCCTTTTTGAGATTCCACAACTGGTCCTTTTGGTACTACTACTTTTTCGGAACTCAGACGACCCATGTAAGCGTGGGGCCTGACAGATATAGAGAGTGTGAGTTCTCAGGTAATGAAAGGTTTTGTCGGAGGATGTATCTTGCCACTAATGTATAATATGTTCGGGAAACTTGTGTGTGTATTTTTCTTGGGAAGGAAGACGGGTTTTTTCGGATACTTTTCGGATGTTTTTTCCCGAAGGACTTTATTTCTTTTTTCGGGTTCCCTCCTTTCTTTCCGATGAATATAATGCATGGATAGAACAGTGTTTGAGAAAGTCGACGAAAGAGTACGCCGGGAGGAATGGACTGTGATCCCGGGCGGGACGGAAGTACAGACACTATGTATAGATTGACTGAGCGGGGATCTCGGTGATCGGAGCACGGGTGTATAATAGACGCAACTCTGCAGTGAAAGTAAGGGATAAAGGATCCAGATATAGAAGGTGAAGAACGAGGAGAGAAGATCGGATGCGGGACTGTCGTATTTCAGCAGTATGTATGTACTTCGTTTGCTGTCGGCAGTGAGCATACAAATCGAATACAAGTAGGGAGGGAGAAAGTTTCGAAAGTCGCAGCAACGAAGCAAAGGGCGAACGGGAAAAAAAACGAGGCGGATCGGAAGCACCGATCACACCGACGAACTGGAAGGAGGAAGAACCACAACTGCAAACGGCGGACAAGGTAGGGTAAGTAAGACTCTGCGAGCAGACTGAGAGACAGCGAGAGCTAGGCGGTATAAGAAAGGTTGAAAGAAGAGCGAGGTAGAATGGACATACTAAGAATAGTATGGGCTGGAAGGAAACTGGGAGAGAAGAAGAAGGGACGATCTGGACTACGACTAGAAACCAGGGAAGGAGGAGGGTGGGGATGGTGGAGGAGGTGGGACCTACGTAAGCAGGCCAGAGATCGAAGGGAGGGAAAATACGGGAAGGAAAGTTTGAAATGGCCGGGAAGCGCACTAGGAGTAGGGAAGCAGTAGGAAGACATCAAGTAGGGAAAAACTTAGGCTCTCTTCGATGACGTGAGGAATTTGGAAACGAGAGGTACTCGGGTATTTAAGAAGTAGGAGGAAGGAAGCTTCCTCACGACTTAGCGGTATCCGGCAGTCGGGAAAACCCCCTGAGGAGTTACCGTAACGCAGCAACAAAACGCGTCGGGGTAGTGCGTTGTATGGTTTGGAAGAAGTTATGAGGGAGAAAAGTACGAGGACAGACTGAGCTTGTTATGGGAGGATTTTGTTATGACTTCTTTGTTATTGCTATCTTTCTTTCTTCCTTTCATCTTCAAAAATCTTCTATATCTCCTCGAATCTCTCTCCCCCCCCCTTCCTCCTCGCTTGCAAAACGGCTTTCTTGGTTTTTCGATTTCTTGTTTTTTTTTGGTAGAAGAATTGTCGTTTTTTTTTTTTTTTTT